CCCCAAAACCCCAAAACCCCAAAATATTATAAAATAATTGATCAACTGAATGGAATATTAAAAAAATAAATTGAATTTTTTATTTCTAATTCTATTTGAAAAGACTCTTAGAAAATGTTAAAAAACATCAAGCATGAGATAATGGATAGGCTGAGATCAAAGAGAATGTCTGCTGACTAGATCTCAAGAAAGTCTCAGGCCGATGAGAGATAAGCGAGGAGATACGGGGATGGATCTCCTTCATCTGCGGAGATGATGCTCAGTATGATGATAGAACGCAAACGATAGGAATAGTTAGAGCAAGGTCTGAGGCAGCAATATGAAATTTTAGAAAAGATTGAGAAACTAGAGGAGATTCATCCAAAGGCGGTGGACTTATTTCTAAATGAAGCAAAAAAGCGTGGACTCTATCAACCCCCAAGAGAAGACAAAAAGAGTACGAAGCAAGGCTCGTCAGTTTATTCTTCGACTATGTACGCAGGATACTCAACAATGGGTGGTGCAATCAGCCACAAATTCAATAATAAATCTATAGACGACGGTTATTCTACCAAGACCAGAAAATTCAGTGCAGGCAATGAGACTAACTACACCTAGAGAAGAAGAGCTCAAGTAGCAAAGTTTATAGTTGTAGACTTAGAAGGTAAAGCATCTACTGAAAACAAATTTAACTACTACATGGAAAAACTTAATGCTGAAGAAAAGAGAGAACAGCAAGTAAAAATACCTGTTAAATCATTTGCTCCTATTGACAGGGCTTAGCTGCATACTTCGAATTAAGTATCATCTGAGACTCCATTAAATGGAAGGTCCAGGCATTTACAGGCTTCAGATAGAAAAAGTCCATTCCTGGATTAACTTCACCTAAATGCTCAAACAACTGAAATGATCTCAATTAAAAATGGAATAAATGCTTCATTCAGAAGAAACAACGCCTAAACAGTTGAAAATGACAGTTAGTTAGCAATAACTCCCAGAAGTAAGAGATAAGTAAAAACTTAGTAAGGAAGGGAATCCTTCTCAAATAAAATCAATTCACAAGACTAGAGTTAGACAAAGATATCGAAAATGCAGTTAAAAAACAAAAATGAATTGCAAGTTCAGATATAAGGCTAGAATTAATAGAAACTACCAACTATATAAGATAAGCAATTTAAGTTTCCATAATAGCCTCCTTAGTTTAACCCGTTCTAAGACAAGAGGAAACTCTAGGATCAGAATGTGATTGCCCAGAGTTTTATTGGAATGTCCCCAACAATAGGTGGTTAGAATTAGCATATTTTAGAAGAGAATTAGATTGTTCAAAAGAGAATATAAATGATCCAGAGATTGCAAAAACAGTCCTGGCTACAAAATGCATTGCTAGATGTTAACAATAAATCCTTCCATGACTTATTCAAAAAGTTATGCCAATCAACATATAACACTGCCAATATGGCAGGGGGTAACAATAACTTGAATCAGCAAAATACAATGCAAAAATAAAAATCCGACAAATAGGAAAAACTTTCTACATCTGCTCAAAATAACTATAATTCATAGAACAACTAATAGTCGAATATGTAAAACTAAGGACCAACAAATATCCTTTACGTACTTAAAAATCTGAGACTGTCCAAGTAAAACCTAAAGAGTCATATCTAAAAGCGCTACGGAAAGTCCATCTCTGATAGAATTATGATAGTTCTTGAATCCTATAATAAGCAGATGCATAACATAGAATTGAATGGCTATATTGATTTGCTGAATCATACATTCTTTAGTGTCTAGAATAGCTAGTCAGTTGCGAGTCACTCTAATTTCTAGGTTCCAAACATCTACAAATTTCTCTTTCAAATCATTGATGTGGGGAATAAGGGCTTTATCTGTGAGCATGATTTATTCTAGTTACTGTGGGCTTTAGCCAAAGAAAATAGAGATAAGTAAGAAAAACCATTAAAGCAGGAAAACGGAGAAATTGAAACCAAACCGAGAGCAAGTACATTAGGAAACTCCTAAAAAGGTGAAAATAACAAGAAGTTAGAGAAAAGCTATACACTCTCAATTAATTATAAGGATTACTTACCAAAGGTAAAATCTTCAGTATTTATTGAGTCCTTCTAAAGTGACTTCTAAATCATACTAAAAGAGTTGGAAAGGCAGCATCAGAACTAAATATTTCTCTTGAAAGAGCAGCAAAATGCAAAAGAACTAAACCTAGGTTTCCCACTAAGCAAAAAAGGTTCATTTAGAAATAAGCTAAATTTAAGCTAGTTAGTATCTGGGACTGAAGAATCTGAGAATAATAGTATATCTACATCAGGGAGATAGAAAAGATCAACTAAGTAGACTATTAAGAATATATAGTCAATGCCTGTAAGCATTAGTCCTAGAATAAAAGTAAAGAGAGATTTGAGGATGAAAAAAATATTTTAAGCGATTTATGATAGTGCGAAAAATAGTATGAATGATATAGAAGCTGCACCTAAATCTAATTAGACTTATTAGTCAATGAATCACAGTATAAGTCCACATATAAGTGCCTTTTCACATAACAATCCAGTATCTTAATTGATAAGGGAGAGGAAAGAAGCATAAAGCTAGCAGGCAAATGTTTTACTACGATAAGCCTTTGACACTGATCATGATATGAATTGCAAGCAAATGACTTTTGAATAGTTTGCCAAACTACAATTTGACTATGAGGTGCCAACATTTATGGAGGATCTGTTTAAACTGCTCACAACACTTAGCTATAAAGATGCCATGAAAAAACTAAACTAGTCATCAGTATAAGTACTGACCTAATAGAAGAATATGGGTAAGAGGAAGAACACTTCAACTAACATCTAGATAATTCTGTCTTAAGGTATAGAAGGAGATGAAAATCAATACAATAAAAGACTTCAGCAATATTAAAAACTTCAAAAGGTCTTCGACAAACCACTGCTCAAGTCACTGGTGAATTCATTTAGATTGCTTTCCAAGAACAGATAATATGAGGATGATAAATTAAGTCTCTTCTTAACTCAAGAATCAATAAGTGAAAACTTCAAGAAAGTTTTCAATGCTTTTAATGAGTCTGTCGCTCTCAGATTTTACAATATACTTTCTGAGGGAGTGAACATGAAGCGTATATACCTGCCAAAGTATTTAACCACTCTTTACCCTCTATTCAATGGTAATGTAATTGACAAGAACTACTTCGTTTTCAGGATTCTAGATGGTGACAATGACTAGCTTATCTAGTCAAAGGACATCTCTGATATCTTGAATAATGTGCTCACTTGTCCATTGTAGAATGAGATCAAAGTGTGCACTTGCCCTCTCTTCTAGGAGATACATTTGCTTTATGATATTTACGTCAAGACAAACTTATTAACTTATAAAGTTAAGAAACTCGAACTAAACTTCACCTATTTTATGAATAAGATCCCATCCTCTTGCCTGATTAAGGAATTTTAAGATAAGTTGACATTGAGCAATCAAAGACCATCTGTATTCAGTCATGAACAGAACGACCTAGAAAAACTGAAAAAGCTTTACATTTAGGATAATGAGAGCTTTAATATTGATTTGATAGTTCTAAAGAAAAAAGGATTTCTCGCTGAGGTGCTCTCTGTTAAACAAAGAAAATTACAAATCGATATGTAAATTATGGACTTTAATTAGCCAGCTCCTCAAAACGAAACCGAGCAGCAGAACGAGGATGAATATGGATTTTCAATTGATAATAAAGAGAACTTAAAAGATTGAAATCAGCCACAAAAATATATCACTGTTTGAATTATGAATAAGATTAAGAAAATAACATGCTAACTGCTTAATTGAATAAAGATTAGACACACATTCTATTTACATATTATTCCTTATCTCTTTTGCTTTAATTTCATCACTTAGATTTCTTAAAAGATGAAAATAGTGATTGTAGCATACCGCTTATAGGACCCTTTTTCTACTCCTCTATTCTATCTGCAAATTAGGAATTTAACTGGCCTAGATCATTTGTTTCTTTGAGTGTATTATTCATGTCTAAAATAGCATTATCAAGTTCTTTGGATAGCTGCTATTGCTGCTCCTAGATTTCATCAGTAGTCACAATCAATTACTTCACGTCCTAATTTATGTAATAAAGGCCAACTTTGGGTTCATTGGTCTAAAAATGACTAAAGATGTAAGCACTTTCTGTGATTACTTCTGAGGAGACTCTGATGTCATCAATCATATTCCTCTCATCTACCATTTTATAAATTAATTTATCAATTATTAGTCAACTGTAAATGCTCGATGTCTCAATTTGGGGTTTTGGGGTTTTGGGGTTTTGGGGTTTTGGGG